AGGGAGTCATTTGGTCCGGCCGCGCCTCAGCCGGAGGCGGGACACCGGCGAGACACCGCGCGGCACCGGTTGCCGGAAGGGAGTCATTTGGTCCGGCCGCGCCTCAGCCACAGGAGACTTTCCTCTCGCCCGCCCACGCAGCTTCGCCTCGCCCGCACGCACGGCACGCACGAACACGAAACCGAAACCGATTTCCCGGTAGGGGGGCTCTCCGTTCCACTTCGATCTCACCCCCTCACCTCCGATATACACACAGACACCCGCTGACGGATGCCGCCTGTGTGTTCAGGGAGGGCGGCGGCGTATAAAATCGCTGGCTCTCAAGGGTGGTGTATACACCGCCACCCTCTCCTGACAGGAGTGCCCAGGATGGGATCGACAAGTCGGATCGGCGATCGACATGAATCGGATCGTCGGAAATCGGCAGCTGAGTCGGGAAAAGTCGGATCGGCAGAAATCGGCAGGCTAGTATGCCTCCAATAAGAAATCGGAACTCAAATCGGAATCCCAGATCGAATCGCGTCGGAATCGGAAACCATCGAAATCGAATCGAATCGAATCGGAGGAATCGAAACGAGCCCTGTCCTGAGGCCACAGAAAAATCCATCGGGGGGGGTCTGGGTATATATTTCTGTGGCGGATGAGGGGAGCTTACAGGGGGGGCTTGCTCAAGGGGGGAAGCACCCAGCTCATACCCGCGGCGCGCCGCGGATGGATCGGCGGTGGCCCCCCTATTGGCGCATCCGCACACTCCTGGACGGCGTGGCCCGTCGGACCCCTAAGAGCGATACATGGGCGATTGGGGGCCGATGCGTCCCCCCCCTCCCTGAGACGATCACCCCTGCGACTACAGTCGAGGCGTTGACCTAAGGAACCCTAAATAAGGAACGAGGCCCCTATTTTCCATAAGTTGAACTTCGATTTCGTATCGAAAACCTAAGGAAAATCCAAGGCAAGCTGCGAAACGATTAAAGAACACGGAGCCCCTCCCCAACGAAAAAGGTTCCTTCTTCAGGGCCCCGACTGTATCATCCCCTGACGTTGCCCTGGCCTTCGGGTCACAACCCGGCTCTCCAGCAGCCGCTCGGGGCGATCCGGGCACCCCAGGAGCGCTCTCGCCGAGGCGCGGCCGCTGAAGCCATCCCGAGGCTGGAAAGCCGCCGAGAACCCACGACAACGTCTGGAAGGCTCGAACTTCGATCCCCCTAAGACCGCCCCCCCCACCCACACCGCTGTCCCTGAAAATGAAGAACAGCAACCTTCATAATTACAGACTGTCGGACGTCCGCGAAAATTTCCTGCGTCGGCACTGGAGCCCGCCACCCCCGCGCCAGGGCCGCGGCCAGAGGCTCCGCCAGGGGGGGGGGTCCAGTGCCGATCCAAAAAATCTGCGCGGAACCCCGAGCTTCAAAACGTGCACCGCTGTCTTTCCCTTTCAAGGAGGAGCGAGGAGGGGAAGCGAGGAAGAAGAGGAGCGAGGAGGCGCGCGAGGCGAGAGGGGACGAGGAGCGAGGCGAGGAAGGGGCGAGGAGGCGCGTGGAGGCGCGAGGAGCGCGGAGGAGCGGGGAGCGGAGGAGCACGCGAGCGAGGCCGCGCAGGGGGCGCGCGGAGGGTCCGCGCGCGGGCGGGCGCGCGGGCCAACCCGGCCCGGCGCGGCCCGCAGCCCGCAGCGAGAGGAGCGGGGCGCAGCGCGCGGGCGGTGAGCGAAACGACGACGGCGACGACGACGACAACGACGACGACGAGGACGCCGAGGACGCCGACGACGCCGACGACGAGGAGGATGCCGACGACGACGACGACGACGGCGACGGCGACGACGACGACGACGACGACGAGGGTCGAGCGGTCCCGAGCCGTGGCCACAAGGGCGCCCCTGGAGGCCGAGCGAAAAAAAAGAGGCAAGACTGCCCACAGTCTCGATATTCGGCGCGCGAATCGTCGGAGACGCCCTCCTCCTCCTCCTCCTCCTCCTCCTCCTCCTCCTCCTCCTCTCCTCCTCTCCTCCTCCTCCTCCCTCCTCCTCCTCCTCCTCTCTCTCCTCCTCCTCCCTCCTCCTCCTCCTCCTCCTCCTCCTCCTCCTCCTCCTCCTCCTCCTCCTCCTCCTCCTCCTCCTCCTCCTCCTCCTCCTCCTCCTCCGTGCCAGAGGCTCTCGTCGCCTCGGCCAGGCGGCCGCTCGATTGCCCACAACCGCTGCATGCTCCTGGTCAACACAGCCCTCGGGTCAGACGAACGGAGGGGGGGCTGAGAAGAGGGGGCCAGGGCATCAGCTCACCTAGCTTGCTTGCCTCCCAGCGCCGAAGGGGCCAGCGCACCGAGGAACAGGCGCCTGCTGGCGGGGCCGAAACCGGCTGCGCGCAGCAGATGTCGCACGTCCGACCCGAGCAGCCCCTGGAGGCCTCCGGCAGAGACCGGCCTGCCGGGAGGAGCAGGGTCACCAGAGGCCCACTCCACCTTTCCTCAGGCATCGATGAGGCACGGAGAGAGCTCTCAAGTGCCCAAAATCGTCGAACCTCGATCCGCGATCCTCCTTCCTTTCCCCCCCTCCCCACAGGCATCGATGAGGCCCAGAAAGAACTCTGCAGACTCCAAAATCGTCGAACCTCGATCCAAGATCCCACTTCCTTCAACTCCACTTCGTGGAGAGGTGGGGGCTGAAACCCAAGCATCCTACGCCGTATGTGTTCGGGACATGGGCCCCCCAGGTCCTCCGAACCTCAGCATCCCTTCCCGTGCGCCGGGGTTCCATCCCAGGTCGTTTTTGGATGGCACCCCGGTCCAAGACTGGCCTCCAAAAGCGCAGAATAACAAGAAAACAACAATCGTCCCAATT